GGGTGCGCGGCCGGGAGGCCATTTCGCCGCTGCGCCCCTGGCGGAACCCGGCCGCCTGCGCCGTCGCCGTCGCCGCTGCGCGAGCCGGACCTAGGGGAACACCGGAGGGGACATCGAGGCAGCGGTTGGCAGCCGGGTGCGGAGCCCGCGCCCCGGGCTCCCGGGTAAGGCTGCGTGCGGGGACCCGGGGAGGCGGGACTCGCCGCCCGCGGTCGCGGTGCCGGTGGATGACGCTTGCTGGGAGCGGCGCTCGCCTGGGGCCCGGGACCCGGGGCGCAGCGGAGCCGGGAGGAGACTGCGGCCCGGCCGAGCACCGCGCAGCCTCGGGCGGGCGGCGTGACGCGGCGAGATTAACTTTGCGTGGCTAATGCGAGCACCACCGCGGACACCACCGGCCGCTCAGCCCGGCTGGTCCTCGCCGCCTCCGGACCCTAACCCGACCCTCCGCTCCGGTAACATGCGCTGGGGGGCGCGGGTCGGCGGGAGGGGTCGGGTCCCGCAGGGGAGGGAGGGGTGCGAGTCTCGGTCCCCGCTGGGTCCCCACCAATCGGGCTCCACCCGGGCGCCCGGACCGGAGCCCAGCCTGCCGCCGGGTTCTTGTGAAATGGAGTTTGGCATCCTGGGCGCAGAACCCAGTGGAAGTTTCCATGAGGGGAAGTCGGAGGACACCCGGGTTCGGGGAAGCGGGGCAGGGCGAGGGAGGGCGGTTTAAATGGACCCTGGGTCTCCAGTGTCGCTGCGCTGCTGCTGCCCGGAACTCCAGGGTTTGGAAAGGAGAATTCTCCCGAACGTAGGCTCCGCTGTGGCCGGTGCCTGGCGACGCGGCGTGTCCCTCCTCTTCGGCTCGGATCGCTCCTCTGACCGCTTCCCTTGACGCAGCATCTTCCCGCGGTCGCAGGGTTGTTGGTAGTTCCAGGGCCACCGGCTGCGCCCCCGGGGTCGGGGAAGGCTCCTTGGGGAGTTTTTATTGCTAGTGGATTTCGTCCTCCGCAGCGGCAGTTGTCATCTTGCAGGAGGATTTCCCGTCACCACTGTGGAATTATCCGAGCTAATTCTTAAGCCTTCTGATTTGTTTTGAAGGAGAAGGGGGGCGGGGTGTGCGTATGAGGGTTGTTTTTGTTTCTAGTGAGAGGCTCAAGGTGTAATATACCTCGTTGGGGGAACTTTAGAAATGGTCCTAAAGTGAATCCAAGAAAGAAAAGAGTCCTTGGACAGCCAAGTTCCCTTGCCCCATCTGCCCTTTCCGCGCACATGGAGATTTTGCGGGGATCCTAAGGGTATGTCTAATCAGAAAATACAGTGGAATAAATTCTTCCTCTCAGCATGTAGGTGGGCTTAGGCACCGGTGAGACTCAGTTTAAAGACCTGTTGTGAAATTGAAGTGAGGCATTCCTCTTCCACGCACATTAATAGCAGAACCCAGCGATTCTGTTAATGATAAAAGCACCAGGTGAATCGCACTAAGTCGTCTCAGCAGCGTCTGGGCATTTGGCATTTTTTGTGCTCGGTTTGGCGAGCTTCTTCATAGGGTAAGAAAACGCTCCAGCACCGTGTTGCAGAGATAAAATGATCTTTTTAGAAGAAGGGTTCCATGATTCACTCCAAACCCTGGTGACTGAGCTGCTCCCTAATCCACTTCAGCTAGTTAATTCTCATTCTGAAAAAGTCACGCGCTGGGAACCATTAATGAGAACGCGGTCTGAGGGGCAAATATTCTGAGCTGTGGGTGACTTGGGGTGTTTTCATGCCATGAAGCTGTGCTTCCGTTGACCCTACCAGAAATTCAGTAGTAAGCGATTTGCTTGGGGTGTTTTCTGGGAAGAGATTGGTGGACAGCAGTTTGTCTGCCCGTGTCAAGCACAGGGCTAGAATCCTAGTTTTAAATGAATTCCAAAGGTTTATTGTGTATTTAGAACGGAAACGTCTGCTTTATTTTTACACGTGAAAGTAAACGATACTAGACATCACTCCAAATTGTTGTAGGTTTTGTTTTTTTTTTCATATGAAGCAATTCTTCTCACCATTGCAATGCAGAAGCTAAATTTCACTGATGTGGGGATATTATTATATAAAGTAACCAGCCCTGAAAAAGGACTAAGTATCCCATCTGTCTGCTCCCGCTTCTTTGTGGTGAAATCTATAATCAAAAGTGAATTTCCTTTTGCCCCAGCATCATTGGGAAAAGGTGATTTGTTTCAACCTCTTCACGAACTTGGAAAGCGGAGGCTCCCTCTCCTCCCTCTGAGTTGTAGTTGCTGGAAGCCTGCTTGGAGTCACAGGTGAGCTGGCAGGTTTCTTTTTTTAGCAAGCCCATCTTTGTGATGGAAATCAGAGTAGAGGTGAGTGGTTTCTTTAGCTCCTCCAACTCACTCTAGTGTAGATTACATGCCAGCTTCTTAGAAAGCCCTTCTCTGACCATGTGAGCAAAGATAGCCATTGTGATAGTTAGTTTTTGTCAACTTGACACAAACTTGAGTCACCTGGGAAGAGGGAACCTCACTTGAGGAATTGTTCCTATCAGATTGGCCAGTGATCCTGTCTGTGAGGCACTTTCTTAATTGCTAATGTAGGCTGGGAGAGGGGCAGCCCACTGGGGGTGGTGCCATCCCTGGGCAGGTGGGCCTGGCCTGCATAAGAAAGGTGGCTCGGGGGCTGGAGAGATGGCTCAGCAGTTAAGAGCACTGACCACTTTTGCAGAGGACTCGGGTTGGATTCCCAGCACCCACATGGCGTCTGACATGGTAACTCCAGTTCCAGGGGAGCCAACGCCGTCTTCTGATCTCCATAGGCACTGCAATCTCAATTTTCTTTTGCTCCAAAACTTGGCAGTTTCCTCTTGAAACTCTCCAATATGGAGTCAGGCAGACAGTAATGTGGACTCTTCCTTTGTCTTGTTTTCCCAGCATCTGGAAGAGCACTCAGCACACAGGAGGCGCTGAGAAAATCTTTTTTGAACATATTAATGGTTTTGTTCCAGAAAATGCCTGGCAGAGCGCACCAGCCCAGTGCCAGTCAGGCCGAAATCTGAAGTGGGGTGTGAGGGGTGTGTGCACTCACTGTGGGTTAGGGTCAGTCTCTGCACTTCTCCCTTGCTCCCTGTTGCTCTCTTTCTGACAGCTGGCCTGCCTTTCTATGAAGGGACAATATAGAGCTGTTTCTCCGGGTTCCTTCAGGGGTCTCTGTCTTGGCTGTGTTGGAATCCTCAACAGCGAGTTCATCTTACATGTTCCCCTGATTCCTGAAGACATTGGCCTTCAGGTCCTGAGTATCAGCAGGATCTTTATTTATTCCAGAGGCATTGTCAGGACCAAGAGTGAAATTCCAGACACTGGACAGCAAGGACTTTTCACACTCAAGTCTTGGCAGTGCCTCTGGCCTTGGCAGCCCTGAGGGGACCAAAGGCTGACAGTGGCAGAATTTAGGCTGCAAAAGTGGTAGTTGGAGAGGAGGAGATAGGACAGGCAGGATTCAACACCAAGTAGAGAAGTCCTCGTGACAGATTGTGAAATAGCCTGGTAGTTACCCTGTGTGGAAGTCAACCAGCCTCTGCTCTTTCTCCATTTTTGAACTTTCATAAACATATTCTGATCTGGATGACTGTGAGAAATGTTCTATTATCTGTGTTTTCAAGTGACCAGAGTGTGGTGGCTAAAGGGTTATCTTCAAATTATTATTCATGGCAACCCTCGCCAATTGAAAATACAAGGAAATTGCAATTGATAATCATGGTAATTTATTTTTGTTTGTAGAGAATCAGCTTTGAGAAACGTGTCTGTGTAGATGCATAATAAAAATCCAACAAAATTGGCCTGGAGAGATGGCTCAGCAGTTAGGAGCACTTGGTGTTCTTGCAGAGGACCTGAGTTCAGTTCCTAGCACCGATGTCAGACTCACAACCATTTGTAACTCCAGCTCCAGGGGATCGGATGTCCTCTTCTGTTCTCCGAGGGAGCACTGCACTCATGTGCACAGACAGCACACACACACACACACACACACACACACACACACACACTGTTTAAAAAATAATATTAAGTAAATCCTTAACAAAAATTCTGCAAAAAAGTAATACTAATAGTGTTAAAAGTGGGAAGAAAAGACCAACATTTAAGGGAAGAAAACTGCACCAAAACCTGAAATGTTTACTGTTGTAGCTTATTTAATTTAGTTCCAAGCATTGGAGTAACCACATTAACCAAAAAAAAAAAAAAAAAAAAAAAAAGGCAGGGAGGATCTGAAGGCTGCTTTCAGAAGTACGGGACAGATGTCATATGTGGCCACATGGGTGCTCACCATGGTACCCGACAACTAGTACAAGTTCCTGTGAAATACCATGGACAGTGCT